AGGGAGAGAGGCCTTAGGAGAAACCAACACTACTAGCACTTGGATCTTGGACTTCCAGTCTCCAGAACAGTGAGAAATAAATTTCTTTTAAGTCACTCAGTCTTTGCTATTTTTATAGCAACCCTAGTTGATTAGCTGAATAGACACCATTGTTTATAAACATCTTTTATCAAGTATCTTATATTTTGGTTCTTTATAAACATCATCCACTATAACCTTTTACCGTCACAATCCTAGAAAGCAGGTATTATTAATCCAAGATTCACAGACAAGGAAGCTGAGGTTCTGAGAGGTTAGGAGTTTGTAAATGGCCATAAAATTTAAGCAGCGAGGCCGGGGCCAGTGGCTCGTGCCTGTAATCCCAGCACTTTGGGAGGCAGAGGCAGGCGGATCACCTTTGGTCAGGAGTTTGAGACCAGCCTGGCTAACGTGGTGAAATCCCGTCTCTATTAAAAATACAAAAAAGTAGCTGGGTGTGGTGGTGTGCATCTGTAATCCCAGCTACCTGGGGGGATGAGACAGGAGAATCACTTGAAGCCAGGAAGTGGAAGTTGTGGTGAACCGAGATCGTGCCAGTGCACTCCAGCCTGGGCAACAGAGTGAGACTCTGTCTCAAAAAAAAAAAAAAAAAAAATGTAGTGGAACTTATGTCTATCCATTAAAACCACTACAATGTGCTGATATCACATGAAAAAGGAATGTAATTACTGTGCCTCTGGTGTGGCTGAGTTCAGTTAAGAATTAATTATTTTCTTTCTTTAACACCTTGAGCTTTCTCTTTTCGCACTTCCCGGGCTTCAGCTATCACACAAATTGATGACTCTCAAGTCTTTAACGTCATCCTAGTCCTTTTTCTTTGGTTCCAGACTCACCCTTCTCACGATCTGCTGTACCTCTCATTTGGATATCCTACAGGCATTTTAACTCATTTTTAAAAAGCTACACGATTGAAATGTTTGAGTTCTCTTAAACTCCTCTGTCATCTCACTAAATTGGCCCAATAATTGTTTCTTAAACATATTCTTTCCGCTTCACTTCCACTGCAGATGCTTTCATAATTTAGTTCCTGGATCACCCTCGCTGCTACCCGACGGCTTTTCTAAAGACACTTTTTCTATTTTCTTTTCTTTTCTTTCAGGCAGAGTCTGGCTCTGTCACACAGGCTGGAGTGCAGTGGCGCAATCATGGCTCCCTGCAGCCTTGACCTCCCACCTCAGCCTCCCGAGTAGCTGGGACCACAGGAGCGCCCCACGATGCCCGGCTAATTTTTTGTATTTCCGGTAAAGACGGGGGTTTCACCACGCTGCCCAGGCTGTAAGCACACTTGTAATCGCAAAATTGCCCTGCATTCTGCCATTCTCTTCCCAACAAAATCCGAATTCCTTAGCTAGTCATTATCTAACCTTGACCTTCCCTCCAATTTCATCTCCGCAGCTAAATCCGAAGACAAATAATTTGCCACCTAGACTAATATTTAAAAGAGTACACTGGCATTAGCCTACCTTGACTTGAAATCACAGAACCTACTGGGCAGGGATTAAATGTGCTAGTACACATATATAGAACTTATCTCTGGCGTCGTTCATCATGTGGTAAATATTAGCTATTCTTATCCACCCCCTCAACAACCCATGCATTTGCACATGGTGGTCCCCTTGCCTGGAATATTCTCTGTCACCATCCATCTAAACCCTGCTTCTCTTTCAAGATTCAATCCAGGAGTCAGATTCCTAGCAAGTTTACCCTGCCCCACCTTCCCATCTCGTTTGTCTCCATCGCTTCCTATTCAAATTATTGTTTGCGTCTGTCACTAGACCGTGAACTTCCTGAAGAAGGGACAGTGTCATCTTTTTGGTCAAAATCTAAACACAGGTGCACGATACTTTCTGAATGACTGCACAGAGAGTGCCCCATATGTAGTGAAGCCTGTTAATAAATTTTTCCTCAACCTTAATTTGTCTTGTGCGTAGACCTGCCCCGAATACAGTACAGGAGCATCTTCAAAGTACTTCCAGAAGGTGCCTTGAACAGCAACTAAGAAGCCTGGAGTAAAACAAGTGCCTTCTTTACCGTGCCAACCCATGAACCTAGGTAGAAGCCTCAGGTCTGGAAAACGCGGAGGAATACGCCAACTTTTAGTGTCAGTCTGCGCCTGCGCACCTGACCCCTACACGTCTGCGTCTGCGCCGCTCAAGGTAGCGCGGGCTACACCGTCGAAGGAGGGGCACGCTTCACGTTTTGGGATTGGGCAGCGAAGGCCAAAACGGACGGCGCGGAAATGACGTCAAGGCGCGCAAGCGCCTGCTGCCCTGCCGCGCGGTGGCTGCTGGGTGCCGCACGCCTTGCCTTCCTTCGCCTCTCCCCTCCTCCTCCCCTCCCCGCCCCCTCGGCCGCTCCGCTCTCTGGCGTGACTCGGCACGGAGAGTCCCGGGAGTAGACGCCGCGGTCGCCGCCTCTTCTGTCCAGGCCTCGGCCTTCTTGAGCGTCTCTGCTTCCCCTCCCAGGTCATCTTCTTCAGTTTCGAAGCAGGTGGCGTCGCGGCCACCCTGCCGGGCTCTCTGTGAGGATGGTGGGGGTGAAGCCGGTCGGGAGCGATCCTGATTTCCAGCCAGAGCTGAGCGGCGCGGGCTCCAGACTCGCCGTGGTCAAATTCACCATGAGAGGGTGAGGCCAGGCACGAGCTCTGTGGGTCCCCGCCCGTCCTTCTGTGCTTTCCTTTCACTCTTTGTCGGCCCTGGTTTCCTAGCCGCTGTCTCTTGCTCTGGAATGTCCGGCGGTGGCCGCAGCCCCAGGCAGCTGCCGGAATTAGGCCTCATTTCTCGGGTGCGAGCCCCCATTTATTCACAGGGGTCTCCCGGGCGGGCACGGAGGCCGGGCTGGCCGGCTTCCCCAGCTCAGGAGATTCGTCCCCTGCTCCTTTTCAATCCTCCGACAAACTCTGCTCTTGGGGGTGGTCCGCCCCTGTTCCTTCCTGTCTCTGGGAGTCTCCACAGCCACCCTTGCCCGAGCCTGACCCCTTCTTCCTGCGGAGCCAGCTGTCATTTGCATCTCCCGGAGCTACAAAAACCTAATTCACCGAACACTTCGCTTCGATTCATGACCTGCATTTCTCTAAAGCCTTTGAAGATTGAGATGGGGCGATCCAACTAACAGCGTAGCTCTTAGTCCTAAATTTCTGCTAATGCCTTTTGAACTAAGTTAACGTTGGTTTTGGGTGCTTTTTTAAATTTTTTAAACTTTCTTTGTTTTTCATTAGGCCACTAACTTGTAGCTTAGATTCCTCTGTGTGTGCGATTGCAACTGGTCACCCACGACAGTCCGTCCGTAGGTAGTGTATTTCAGGTGGACAGGTTAGTTTGTCTTAGTTTGACCAGGCTCTGTTTTTCACTTAAGAGGACAGGGATCTTGAAAAATGTTAACTATCTTTGGTAAATATCAGCAAAATTATAGGTCGCAGAACTGGTGGATGTTTTATAATGAATGTGTAATAACGTTCCTGTGTAAGAATGTCATGTTGGAACACGGCATTGGGAACCAAGGTTTCACGAATGTGTGTGTGTGTGTGTGTGTGTGTGTGTGTGTGTTTCACAGATCTCTCCTGTATGTCGATAGTATTTACTTAGAAGTATTAGAGGTCTCCGTTTAATTTTGCGTGACCCCTTGGCGTTATTTATACATCTAACTTGGAGCAGTCTACTACTGGTATCACTGTTGATGTAACACTTTCTTTTCCAGGTAACTATATAAACACAAGGCAGTATTTTGGATTTCAGAGCAAAAAACATAGTTCCTAGTACATGGTTCACTAAATGTTCAGTATATAAATGATGGCATTAGGATTATGTCGTTTTAGGGAATGGATGCAGATAGATACGAAAACAAGTTAAGATTTATTTTTGGATCAGTCTCTCTTACACCGAATTGAAAAAGGATAGTACCCTGGATTTCATATGGTGGACTAGAGTATGATATGTGGAATTTTGCATTTACCAAATTTAAAAGAATAAGTGATGTCATATATATTAAAACACCTAAAAGGAATGTCAGAATTCTATAAATATGTCTTCTCATTTTTAGCAATTTTGTAATGTCTGTATTCTTTTTTTATTGTTTTTGAGACTGAGTTTCGCTCTTGTTGCCCAGGCTGGAGTGCAATTGTGCGATCTCGGCTCACTGCAGCATCCACCTTCTGGGTTTAAGGGAATCTCCTGCCTCAGCCTCCTGAGTAGCTGGGATTACAGGCGCCCATCACCACACCCAGATAATTTTTGTATTTTTAGTAGAGACGTGTTTCACCAGGTTGGCCAGGCTGATCTTGAACTCCTGACCTCAGGTGATCCATTCGCCTCGGCCTCCCAAAGTACTGAGTACAGGCGGGAGCCCCCTCACCCAGCCCTGTATTCTTAATAATAAAGGAATACCTGTAGTACATTAAGTATCTAGGCCACAGTAGAAGATGGAGGATATGATTTCAATAAGGAGTCTCACTTTTAGTTCACTTTTCTAATTCTGGCCAGTTGAAGCTTTTATACGTTTGTCCTTCAATGATAGATTGTTTTCCCCCCTTACCATAGCGGTGGGAGAGATAATAGGGTAATAAATAAATGTTGAAGTGAGAAAAGTGGGGAAACATTGCTGTGGAGGAAATGTTTTTTATCATCAATGTGATGTCATATAAGCATAACTGCAGACATTGATTGGTAAAGAACTGTTATATTTAAAAAGGTATTTTAGTGGAATTAAAATTATTTTTCTTTGTAATAACTGAGGGAAAGTTAATGTTTGAATTTAGAGAACTTTTAAGTTCAAAAGCGTATTTATATTACATTTACAAATCTGGTAAGATTGTATTTACCTTTAATGTTCCTCGAACATACCGGCCATTAATACATCCTGTCTAAACTCACTGTCAGTAGGACCTCAGATGTATGTATATGGGGGTCAGTATTAGACTCACAACTGCATTCAGTGAAATCCTGTAAGAAACCTCTTAGATCAAAGTTAATGCTGTCCCAGTTTAGACTGAGGGCATAGTTTCTCCAACACTTATTTCATTTCCTTTTCAACCCTATTTTAAAACTATTTCTTTTTCTTAACCTCTATGCTTTATCCATTCTCAGTCTAAATTTTGCTAAAATGATACATAGATTGTTCTCCTGTGTAATAATCTTTAGTGGCTTATAATAAAGTATATATAACATAAAATTGACCATTTTAACCATTTTTAAGAGTATAATTCATTGGCCTTAAGGATAGCCAGCCCTCTGTATCCATGGATTCAACCAAATAAGGATAGAAAATATTTGGGGAAAAACATTGCATTTGTGCTGATAATGTACAGACTTTTTCTCTTGTCATTATTTTCTAAACACTGCAGTATAACAACTGTTTTACATAGCATTTACATTAGGTATTATAAGTAATCTAGATGTCATGTAAGGAATATGGGAGAATGGACGCAGGTTATAAGCAGATACTGTGCCATTTTCTATCAGGCCCTTGAGCATCTGTGATTTTGGTGTCCTGCTGGAGGTCCTGAAACTAACCCCCCATGGATACCCCGGCATGACTCTACATTCACAATGTTGTGCCACCATCACCACTGTTTCCTAGAACTTGAGATAGAAATTCTATATCCATTAAAGAATGACTCCCCGTCCTCTCTTCTCCAAAGGGACAAAGCTGTACCCATTAACCAGTAACTTGTCCCTCCCCATTTACGTCCTCGGTAACCTCTATTATGATTTCCATCTCCATAAATTTGCCAATTTGGGGCACCTAAATGAAATTGTAACAGTATTTTTCCTTTTGACTTCATTTAGCGTAGTGTTTTCAAGGTTCATCCATGTTTTAGGATGTCTCTGAATTTAATTCTTTATAACTGCATAAAGTATTCCATTTATATATATGGCAAATTTTGTTTACCCATCCATCTTTTGATTTGCAGGAGTTCTTTATATATTATGGATGTTAATATTTAATTTGCAAACGCTTTGTCCCATTCTGTGGGTTGTCTTTTTCTTGATGGTGTCCTTTAATGCACAAGTTTTTAATTTTGATGAAGTCCAATTTATCTATACTTTTGTTGCCTGTGCTTTTGGTGTCATATTCAAGAAATCATTACAAGATTCAACGTCATGAAGATTTCTCCCTATGTTTTCAGCTAAGAGTTTTATAGTTTTAGCTTTTAAGTTTAGGTCTTTGATCCATTTTGAGTTAATTTTGGTATATGTTGTAAAGTTAGGGTCCAATTTATTTTTTGGCATGTGGATATCCAATTTTTCCAACACCAGTTTGTCTATCAAAAACACTGTCTTTTCCTCGTTGAGTTGTTAACACCTTTTTCCCAGATTATTTTTTAAGGATTAAAATAGTCAATGCTTACATAGTCTTACTCTGTGTAAGGAACTTGTTTAAACTCTTTATATTGACTAATTCATTCCTGAGAATAACCCTAACAGTTATCCCTGTTTTACAGTTAAGGACATTGAGTTTAAATATCTTGTTTAATGTCCCATTAGTGAATGCATCATTTTAATTGTAAAGTGCTATTCTTGCTCTTCCCAGACTAAGGAGAAAAGAAATGTACATTCGTCTCTGTGTATCTGCACAGAGCCTGACAATTTTCAGTATGTGTTTCGTTGAATAATTTACACCTCTGTCTGCAATTCAGTTCACTCTCTGATATTCTTTCTGGTAACGTTTTTAAACAGGTGTCTCCAAATCTTTACTGACGCCCAGATACATTTTAGTGGTTATAAGTAGAACCAGTTTTGTTGTTGTTAAGTATCAGGTTTGTGGGTAAGTGGTTAAAAATATATACAATGTGTTGTCTGTCATCCCATCATCCATGTCGTCCTCCATCCCGTCCCCCGTGCTCTCCCCCGTTAAACAGTGTGAATGATTTTTGTCTTGATGAATGTGTCACTTTTGTAATGTTTACTACGCCCTGGGTATTTTGAGACAGGATCTTGCTCTGTTGCTTAGGCTGGAGTGCAGTAGTGTGATCATGGCTCATTTGCAGCCTCAACCTCCTGGGTTCAAGTGATCCTCCCACCTCAGCCCTTGCAGTAGTTGAGACTACAGGCATGTACCACGGTACCTGGCTAATTTTTAAATTTTTTGTAGAGATGGGGTTTTGTCATGTTGCTCAGGCTGGAGATGTGTTGAATTTTCTTAAAGCAGATCTGCCTTTGTAGTTTGCTAGGGTTTGTTAGAATCCAAGAAGGATATCAATGTATATTAGGATGTTGAATTCTAATAGTTAACGATAGCTTGTTCAAATAATTAATTAAATGTATATTAAACATATGTTAATTATATACCAGGAAATTACTAAGGACTGAAGGTAGTTTATTGAATTACAGAGTTAGTAGGCCCAAGTAGTCCATAGAAAGCAAGGTAGAGCAAGTGTAGTAGGTAGCCATAAGACTAGAGCATGTTGAAACCCTAGTCTTCAGAGAACAGAGTTGCTTTAGTTTTTAAGTTAACTTTTTATTGAAGTACAAGTGTACGAGAATGTATAAGAAATAGTTCATTACCAGCACCCCAGAGTCCCTGCATCTTCCCAGTCTTCTTCCCATTACTCTTGAATTCTAACACTACAGGTCAGTTTTGCTTGTATTTGAACTTTCTGGAAATAGAACCATATAGTCATTTGGTCT